TTATATTTTAATTTATTTTTTATTTTTAGAAATTTAGTGTATAGAGGCTGGAGCTAGAACGAGGGCCTCCTGTCTTGGGGGCTGGCTCTTCATTTCGCAAGATTTACAAGATCCCCGTCCGGAGAACTCCGGCTGTCAGGGTGGTGGCTGGCAGCTGGGAACAGCGAGAGGCGCCTGGGGGCCGCGTGGCCCCTTCCCCGCTTCTCCAGGCTGCACGGATTGGAAAACCTGCAGCAGCGGCTGAGAGGGGAGAGAGCGGGGCCCACATGAGTTGGGCTAAAACTAGGCTGGCTTGTTCTAACCCCAGCCTGAAGACACCCAGGCGGGCTCAGGAATCTCAGGTGAGAAGAACTCATTCCCCCAGCTATTTTCCAGACATGGAAGACAATTAGGATTCAGGTGGATCGTGCTGGCTTTGCTGCCCAGCGCCGAGCCAGTGCTTCCCACACGTATCGCCTCATGTCGTCCTCGCAGTGCTTCTGCAGGGCCTCACAGGTGAGGAAACCTGTAGGCCAAAGGGGTTGAGTGACTTTCCTAAGGTTACCCAGCTGGCTGAAAATAGTATTTTTTCACCCCACAGCAAGTTTCTATTACCACAGCGTGGGAGCTCAGTGCTGCAGGGGCCACACAGTCTCCAAGCCTGTGCCCCAGGCAAAGCCCAGGGTGCTGTGGAAGCAGCTGTCAGCAGTGCTAGGTGGGAGAATGGGCTTGGGCTTGAGCTGTTCTGAGACCTGGTCTCTTGCTGTCTGCCTGGGAGCTCCCAGCCCTCCTGACTTGGGTGGAAAGTCGGGCCTGGGTCTACAGGAGCCGGTAGAGGTCAAACTGAGAGGTCTACTCTGTTACCTTGCAAACCATTGCCAAATCAGGAAGGGCTCAGTTCCAGGAAACAAACTCCTCCAGCTGTTGTCAGCAGAGATAGGAGGTGGGAAAAAAATCTCAGGTACTTACAAAGGCCCTGGGGAGACTGGAGGAGGCATCTTGTGGGAAGTCACCACTGGAGCTGTTGGGTTCCGGGACATCTGCTGGCCTACACTCCAGCCCCTCTCAGCACCAGTTAGGACCCAGGGTCAGGGGGCAGACTGCTGCCACTGCCACGCACAAGGCCAGAGACCTGAGCTGCTGCCAAGTCTGAGCGTCCACATCTGGGTACGAGCAATTGAAGCCAATGGTCTTAACCTGGCCTGCTCCATATGCATCACTCAGAGGACAGCTGATTGGGGATCGACTTCTTATGCAGGACACTTAATGCCAAGGGAATCCAGACATGTAAGTTACCCTCACACAGATGCAGAAAGTGGTGTTAATCTTTAGCCTAAAATGAAGATAAACGGCCCATGTAAGGACTGACATCCATCTTTGTCTATCTGCCCACACACCCTTGCATCCAACCATCTCATTTTATCCATCCACTCCTCCAGTGCTGGACACCAGATGACCTCTGGCCCCCACCCCACTCATACTTCAGACATGGCCTGCGAGTCCCACGCTGTGACCTGCAAGTCTGACCCATGGGCTATAAATCAGGGTTCCCACAACCCCTTCCTGAGGTTTGATCATTTCTAGTTCACAGAACTCAGTGAAACCCTCTACTTACATTTATCCATTATCCGGGATATTACAGCTAAAGATTTAGATGAACATGCACATGGATGAGACATTGGGCAAAGGGCGGGGGTGGTGAGGGATTCCCGTACGCTCTTTGCCACATGCCTCTCCAGGAACCTCCACGTGGACAGCTCCCTGGAAGTTCTCCCAGCCCTGAAGTTCGAGGCTTCAAGTAGACACAGAACCTTACTAACTCAGTTTCTAGCCCTACATCTTTCTCTGGAGGGTGGCGATTGGGGTTCTGCCCGTGCTGTGGCTTCCTGTTTGTCAGTTATTTAGTTTACTTGGGTGTGCACATTGTGGTGACAGCTTCTATCCTGCACCCAACCAGGAATCACATCATTAAGACAAAATACTCTCAAACCCATGACAATATTGCCATGGTGTGTATGTGTGTGGTTAGGTGATTTGTTAGCATTTACCTTTGTACTCCTAGAAATACTTTAAGAATGCAAAAATGAATATACAGATCTTTAAATGTTACACATTTATATTTGTGGTAACAGTCAAGATCACACCTAAGGGGCAGGGATAGAGCTCTGCAGCACAGGGGTTGCCTGGCAAGCGCGAGGCCCTGAGTTTGATTCCCAGTTAAAAAAAAAAAAGGATCACACCTAAGAGAGGTAAATAACATGTTTTATCTGATGTAGTGGTTGCCCATTCAAAAAAAATTTCACAAAACTTTAATTACTTAAACCTATTTGGGGAGAATTAAGCAATGAACAGAACCTCACATAATGTGGATATAGAAGCTGGGCATATTGTCCCACACCTATAACCCCAGCATTTGGGAGGCTGAGGCAGGAAGATGGCAATTCTGGACTACATAGTTAATTAAAGACCAGCCTGGACTACACAGTGAAACCCTGTTTCAAAAAATACGGGTATTGTGGAGGAGGACATTCTTTGACTAGAATGCACTGAGGACACAATGATTTGTTTATTATTTGGTAGAGTTTCTTAAGATAAGTCTTCATTATACAGCCCGGATTAGCCTTGAATTTACGATCCTCCTGTCTCAGCCTCTTGAGTGCTGGGATTATAGGCATGTGTTGGATTACATGAGAAGGATAATCCTTTAATTGTCCTTGCTAAAAACTTGGTATCCGCCCATTTGTACTAGCTATGCCCTTGGTTCTCGCTCAATAAAAGATGACTGAGATTGGTAATCAGGGCTGCAGTTGGAGAGGCTGTCAACCCCCTGATCCTAAACTTGCCTCTCTCTTTTTTTTTTTTTTTTTTTGGTTTTTCTCCCGAACCAGGAACCAAACTCACGACCTTGAGCTTGCCAGGCAGGCGTTTTGCCACTGAGCTAAATCCCCAGCCCCCAAACTTGCCTCTCTTGTTTTTCTTGTTTCTCTTACTTTTTCCTTTTCATCACGGGCACCTTATTCTTGGGACCTGACAACCCGAATAGAACGACAGGGTATAGAAAATTTTTCTGTAATCACTATGTACTTAGGTATTGTGATCCCTTCAGCAGCACATATACTATGTAATTAAGTACTAATTTTCAAATTGCTGTTGCATGATAGAGATTTTTTTGCCACTAACTAGAAACAAAATTCAAAACAAAAATTGTGTTCAGATTCCGAAAGGTATCAACAAAGGGTATTTTTTTTTTTTTTTTTTTGGTTTTTCTCCAGTACCGGGAACTGAACTCACGACCTTGTGCTTGCCAGGCAGGCGCTTTTGCCGCTGAGCTAAATCCCCAGCCTCAACAAAGGGTATTTTTAAAACAACTACTTTATTAGAAAGAGCAAATATCACAAATATTTATTTAATATTTTGTTATAACTGGCCATAGCTGGTAGTTTTTGAGTTAATGATTTTTTTTTTTGGTACCGAGAATCGAACTCAGGACCTTGTGCTTGCCAGGCAGGTACTGTGCTACTGAGCTATATCACTAGCCCTCTTGTCTTAAAATTGAGATTTAATATGTCAAAGGCATGAGAATTCTGTGTATAGATCTGCAGTATACTTTGGTATATATTAAACATTCTTCATAATAAGTAACTTTCAGGGAAAAAAAGATTTCAACATATGAGTTCGGGGGGGCACCAACATATAGGCCGCAGCAATCACTAATTTTCCACATCAGAAAGTACCAGACTGTGAGGCCAGCATCACTCCAATACTAACACCAGAGAAATGTATTACCAAAAAGAAAAGAAAAACAGAGACTAATCTATGAACACAGATGCAAAAAATTTTGACAAAATAGCAAATCAGAGGCTGAGGATATAGCTTGTTGGTAGAATACTTGCCTAGCATGTACAAGACCCTGGGTTGGATTCCCACACTGCCAATTAATTTAAAAATTAGCAAACTGACTGGGTGTAGTAGCATATGCCTGAATCCCAGCACTTGGGAGGCTGAAGCAGGAGGATCATGAGTTCAAGGCCAGCCTCAGTGATATAGTTCAAGGACAGCCTGAAATACATAACAAGACTGTGTCTCATTGCAATAAAATAATAAAAATTCCCATGTTCCACCAAACAATGTACAAAAAGAATTATATGCCATGAACAACTGAGGTGCATCCCAAATAAGCAAGGCTGATTTAACATTCAAAAATCAATCATATTAACAGGCTAAAGAAGAAATACCACAGAATAATATCAATACATGGAGAAAGGGCATTTGACAAAATCCAACATTCATTCATGATAATTACTCTCAGAAAACTAGAAGTAGGAGAACCTCCTTGAATTAATGAAGAATATCTGTAAAAAATTTACCATATGTTCAGTAATTGCCTTCCCTGATATTTACCCAGATAAGCTGAAAACTTACATATACACGGAAGCTTGCACACATATGTTTATAACAGCTGTATTCATAATTCTCAGAACTTAGTAGCAGTCAGCCATGGTGCCACAGGCCTGTAAGCCAGCTACTTGGGAGGCTGAGGCAGGAGGATCACAACTTCACAGCCAGCCTGGGGTATGTAGCAACTTGGTGAGACTGTGTCTCTAAATGAGAAACAAAGGACTGCTGATGTAGCTCAGTGGTAGAGCGCTTGCCTAGCATGTACAAGACCATTGGTTCAATCCCAGAACCACAGGATATGTGATGGCTAGATTTGGCACAGGGTGGGGGTGTGAATTGGTGGAGCAAAGGAGTTGTAGGGCGTCCACCATGATGTGTGCCACGGCCCAAGCCAGCCAGTCCTGGACTGAAACCTCCAAGACTGTGAGCCAAAATAAATGCTGTCTGTTAATAAGTTGGTTATTTCAGGTATGGGTTGCAGCAATAGAAAGCTGTCTCACACATGTCATACATTTGTCAAAACTCAGGATGTACAGCACTGGAGCCAAACTCTGACGTCGCTGTGGACTCTGGGGTGGTTATGATGTGTCAATGTAAGTTCACCCATCGTAATAAATGGTGGAATATGTAGGGTCCCTCAGTTTCCCGTACGTGTTCTCTTTCCTGATTGAGAAACAGAATGCCTCGATTGCACTGTGACCTGGCCAGTGGCAGACTGTTTTCAGCAGGCTTGAGCTAAACTGCGGCTTTGAACTTCCTCAGGCACTGATAAACGTGTCAGATTGCTGCTCGAAACACCGAAGGAAACTAGCTCCAGCCCTGAGCCAGTCCCTCAAACCCTCATCTGCACTCCGCCCCCAGCGCCTGCAGTGCGACAGACTTCGCTTGAGGCAGACCTCACTTCTTGCGTCTGTCCACGGCCAGAACGTGAGCAGCGCACTACACGTTCCCCAAGGAACTCTTCAAATGAATCACCCTGGTGTTCAGTGCTTCCTTCACAATTTCACCAGTCTCATCTCAGGATAGTCGGGGGCACTTCCATGTAGGAACTCTCCTGCCGCCATCTTGGGGGCATTTCTGCCTTGGGTTGGGTGGGGTGTTGACAGTGGAGAAGGCCCCAGATCTACAGAAATCTCTGTAACATCTGTTTAGTTTTGCTGAACTGCTCTTAAAAAATAGGTGTTTAAGAAAGAACTCACACTTCCTGATTTCAAAACTTACTATAAAGCTACAGTAATCAAAATGGTATTGCTGGGATGAGATTAACTTATAGGCCATTGGAATAAAATTGAGAACTCAGAAGGAATCAGCTATGGTCAACTAATTTTTCATAAGGGTGTCAAGACCATTCAGTGATGAAAGAACAGTCTCATCACAAAAATTAATTCAAAATGGATCAAAGATCTAAGTTGCATGGCTGAAATTATTAGAAGAATAGGTAGGGGTAAATTTTAATGACCTTAGATTTGACAAAAATACCACAAAAGAAAAAAAATAGGTGAATTAGACTTCATCAAAATGTTTTTCGGTTTTTTGTTTTGGAGACCATGTCTGCCTATGTAGTTCAGTCTGGCCTTAAACTCACTATGTAACCCAGGCTAGCCTCAATCGAACTCTCAATCCTCCTGCCTCAGCTTCCTGAGTTCTGGGATTATAGGTTGACTGCAAGCAAGGTCTTATTGGAATACAGTCATGTTCGTTAATTTGTGTATTTCCATGCTGTAACAGTAAAGCTGAGTATTTGTGGCAGACCATATAGTTCACAAAACCTAAAATATACACAGGAAGGGGCCCAAGAAGTGGAGGAAGGGAGCACAGGGGAAGGGGATTTTTAAATAATTCAGATGTATTACGTGCTGTGCCAATTCCCCATGATGAATGTAAGCATGTGCTGCAAACATAATCATCCTCATAAAAATAAAAATAAGCCAAAATATTCTGTGACCCTTTACAGGAAGTTGTGAAGCCTTGCCACAAATAAGAATAAATTAGAAATGAAAATGGAAAAAACACCCAATTTTGGTAGAAACAAGTATAAATGATCCAGGAGTAAATTTTTTTTTTTTTGTCTTTCTGAGACAGAGTTTTGCTATGCAGTTCAGGTTGGCCTTGAACTCAAAGCGGTCCTCCTGCCTCAGCCTCCCAAGTGCTGGGATTATAGACGTGTGCCATTACAGCCAGCCCCCACCCCTTTTTTTTTTCTTTGAGTAGGGTTTTGTACTGTAATTTAGGCTGGACTTGAACTCACTATGTAGTCCTTGCTGTCCTTGAACTCACAGCAATCCTCCTGCTTTAGCCTCCAGAGTGCTGGGATTACAGGTGTATGCCACCACACCCAGCCTAAATTTTGGTTTTTATGTTATTATTATTATTATTATTATTACTATTATTTTGGTTTTTTGAGACAGGGTCTTGCTGTATAGTTCAGGCTGCCCCTGAACTAACTATATAGCTCAGGCTGGCCTCAGACTTTCGGCAATCCTCCTGCCTCTGCCTCCTAAGTGCTAGGATTACAGATGTGTGCCACCACACCTGGTTTAAATTTTGTTTTTTAGAGACAGGGCCTTGCTCTGTATTCCAAACTGGCTTTGAACTTACTATGTGCCCCAGGCTAGCTTTGAATTTGTTTTTGTTTTGTTTTGTTTTTTTTTTGGTTTTTCTCCGGTACCGGGAATCGAACTCACGACCTTGCGCTTGCCAGGCTTGCGCTTTGCCGCTGAGCTAAATCCCCAGCCCCTTAGCTTTGAATTTGAAGTGATCCTCCTGCCTCAACCTCCTGAGGGTTGGGATTAGAGGCATGTGCCACCACACCCAGTTTGAAATAAATTTAAATGTCACAGCTGTATAGATAAATGTAAATAAATAGAATTATCTTTTTTTTTTCTCTTGAGACAGGGTCTCGCTATGCAGTTCAAGCTAGCCTTGAACTCACTTATTTTTTTGTACCGAGAATTGAACTCATGACCTCGTGCTTGCCAGGCAGGCACTGCGCTGCTAAGCTATATCTTTGGCCCTTGAACTCACTTTGTAGCCCAAGCTGGCCTTGAACTCAAAAGGATACTCCCGCCTCAGCCTCCTGAGTGCAAGGATTGCAGCTGTGCGCCCCAACGTCTGGCAGGAATTGCCTGTTTTTTTCTCGATGGAAAACTAAAGCAAGACTTTCTCTAAATCTGTCAATATTTTCCAGCCAAATCCCACCAGAAACATGTCCATGTCCACAAGTGAATAAACTGGACTTAGTACTCTTCACAGTGGCACATCTCAATAAGAGTGTGCTAGAAAGTAGGGCTTTCAGGGTTTATGCCTGTTTTGTTTTTTTGTCTTTCTTTGAGACAGGGTCTCACTATGCAATTCAGGCTGGCCTTGAGCTCACTTTGTAGCCCAGGCTGGTCTTGAACTCTCAGTGATCCTCCTGTCTCAGCCTCCTGAGTGCTGGGATTACAGGTGTGCACCACCACGCCCAGCCATTGTTTTTTTTATTTGTTTTGTTTTGTTTTTGTCTTTTTGAGACAGGGTCTCACTATGCAGTTCAGGCCGGCTTTGAGCTCACTTTGTAGCCCAGGCTGGTCCAGGGTTTATGTCTGGGTTCAGTGATCTAGGGAAGGACTTGGGAATCCGGGCTTCACTCAGGATCGAATGCTGTCAGGAACAGGGGCGCTTCTGTGATGGGCTAGGAGGACAGCAGACTAGACAGAGGCTGGTACTGTAGTCAATAAAGAAGTGATCTCACTGTATTGTCCAAGGAAGTTCACATCTTGCCGGTGCTGAGATGTGAGTATGGAGCAGTTTCCTGCGTTGCTTCTTCCTAGTCACAGAGTGACCTTGTGTAAGGTCCAGTTCTGTGACATTGTCTACCTTCAGTAGAATAGCAGGGCTATTAGAAAAGAAAGCAAATTACAAGGTACAGAGCCAAAAATCATCACTATTTGAAAAAGGTGATTAGTTTTGGAGAATCCAATAAAACAAAACAGAAACTATTACAAATAAAAAATTTTATTTGGTATCTGGTTAAACAACTAAAATACAGCCCGGCGTGGTGGCGCACGCCTGTAATCGCAGCACTTGGGAGGCTGAGGCAGGAGGATTGCTGCAATGTCGAGGCCAGCCTTGGCTAAAAAGCGAGTCTGAGGCCAACCTGAACTGCATAGTGAGACCTTGTCTCAGAAAAAAAAGACAACTTGTTAACGGACATAAAAAGAGTACTTTCCCAAATCGTTTTAAATTTTTACAAAGAACATCTACCATTTTTAAAAATGCTATAGAAAAAGAGCTGGGCGTGGTTTGTAAGAGGGCCAGCTCTAGAAGGACTACGTTTCCCAGGAGGCTCTGCGCCGGTGCGCCCCGCTTCCCGACAGGCCCCGCGCGCTTCCGCGCCAGCTTCAGCCTCAGCCCGCGAGCGGAAGGGTATGGAACGCGGTTACGAGTCTGCGGTGGAAAAGCAACGTATCCACGTGCGGCCCGCCACGCTGCAGGACGCCGCCCCGGCCGCGTTGCACTTTCTTCCCTGCGAAGTCCTGGCGAGCCGGCCTGCCCCCGTGGAGCGTTTCTTTTCGCCCGCCATCCGCCAGGGCGCGGACGGTAAGCCTCGAGGCGGGTCCGCGCTCCCGGCAGCCCCCGCCCCCCGGAGCGTCCCCGGCCCGGGCCACCCCAAAGCCCCGCACCTCTCTCCTACAGGTCTCCAGGTGTCGTTTCGGGGGCGCAGTATGCGCGGCGAGGAGGTGTCCGTGCCGTCCGGCCTCGCGGGATTCGTGATGGTGGCGGAGGAGAAGGAAGAGGGACTGATAGGGAAGCAGGACTTCGGGGACTCCGAGAACAATGGCGAGGAACAGGAGCAGGAGCCGCTGGAGCGGGGCTTCGTGAGCAGAGGGATGGGGTTGGCAAGTGGGAAGGGGGGTGCGGCGGTCCCTTTGCTGAGCCAGGCCTCCTCCCCAGGACCGGTTTATGGGAGCCACCGGCAGCTTCAGCAGCTTCACGGTGTGGGGCCTGGAGACCGTCCCTGGCCCGGATGCTAAAGTGCGGGGCGCCCTAGCGTGGCCCACCCTCGCTGCCGCGGTGAGTAGCCGTGGGCCCACCTTCCAGGCCCAGTCCTTTCCCCCTCGCTGTATCTTTTTCGCCCAGTGGATTTGGGGAGTTAAGGCTGGGGAGCACAAAGAGGCCGATGGAGCATGGCTTGCCTGCCACTTTGTTCTGGCCTTCCTCAAAGGGTCCTTAGCAGCGGGGCCCCTCCCAGCTGTGTGGGCCACTGGCTGCTGTAGTCGAGAAATTCCACAGCAGAGGTGACTCCTGTTGCAGATTCACGCACAGGTGCCAGAGGACTGAGAACAGGAGAGCTTGGAATTGAAAGCCATCGATCTCTTCATACCAGTAACCAGCTCTGCACTTCGGAGCCACTGATTCCATCAGCCCAATAAATGAGCTTATCATGGCATCCGTGAGTCTGTGGGCACCCTGGTGCCCCCAAGCTGGTATGGCTCCCTCTCCCACAACAAGAATCCTTGGTGGCCCTGGCTTATAGAAACAGTTTATTGCTGGGGGCAATAGGTCAGAATTTTGCAGCCATGATGGGGTTAGTGGCCCACGCCTGTAATCCCAGTACTCAGGAGGCTGAGGCAGGAGGATAAGGGGAGTTTGAGGCTAGCCTAGAGTACGTAAGTGAGATCTTATCTCAAAAACAAGCAAAGGGAAAAAAAATGTTTGCAACCAGTACCTACCCCACCCCCAGCATTTACTTTATAAAAGAAACTTTTACAGTGACCAGCCTTCTGTACAGAGTGCCCCACCCCCATCTCACTGTACACAACTGCCTGGCTCCCTCTGGTCCCTGGTTCACTGTGGGCCTGGGCTTGTAGGCAGCTGACCATGGAGCTGGCCTGAGCCCTGAGCGTGCCTTGGTGCTGGCCCCTCCCCTCCTCTGGGAGCTGTCCTCAGCCCTGTCTCCCTTGGCATATCTCCTGGGAGCCCAAGGGGGTGGTGCAGAGCAGGCTGATGGCCCCAGTTCTGCTGGCTCATGCTGCTGCAGTGGGCAATGCCTGGTCACCACTTTCCTCTCTTGCTCCAGTCCTTGGGAGTGAAGTGTAGACACTTGGAGTCAATTCGAAGGAGTCGCTTGAGCATAGCCCGCTCATGCCCATCCACGATGTCCTCTGATAGGGTGAGGATGTACTGGCCCTGAGCAGGAGACAGGCCAGCAGGTGGTCAGCCCATATAGGGCTCACTCAGCACACACTCACCTGTCTTCCCCAGCCTGCCTCCCTACCTTGTAGTAGTTGATGAGGTTGAGGTACTGCAGGGTGGAGATGACATCCTCTTTCTTGATGCTGGTAATTTCACTGATCTCGCTGTGGGAGGGCAAAGGTCAGGTCCCCTGAGGGCGGGCTTTCATTTGTCCCCAGGAGCCCCAGGAACACATAGGCCATGCCATGCACCCCCAGGTAGGTGGAGCCAGGCTCACTTGATGGTGATCTGCGGCCTCTCTCCGCTCTCTGACTTCAGCCCCATCAGGATCTCCAGGATGGTCTGGGACCAATAACTTCTATAGGATAGGAGGCCAAGATCGGAGAGGGGCTTCTCAGGGGTGCCTGTCTTCCCCTCCACCTTGGAGAGTTCATAGCCTAAAGCAGTGAAGTGGGAGAGGGTGCTTAAGCAGCCACACATGCACAGCAGCAACATTTACGAGCACGGGCAGCAGAGCCTGGCTGCCTGGTTGCCAAGCTGGCCCTGCCCATTGGTAACTCAGTGATGTGGGCGTGTGGCTTCTCTGTTCTGCTGCTTCGCTTCCTCCTGAAGGTCAGTTCACCTGTGTGCCAAGTATGGTAAAGGGCACTGAGAAAAGCAGCTACAGATGAGGGTGCTGAAGAGGCAGTGGAGGCTGGAGGGCTGGTGCAATGTAGAGAGAAAGGCTTATAGTCAGATGTGTCACCGGTTTTTCTGTGCCATCCCAGCCCCTGTGGCTGGGATGTATGAGGAAGGAAGTGAAACCACCTCATCTCTGGCCCAGGCTTGACAGTGCTTCAGTGAGGGCAGTGAGTCCCTAGCTGTGACTTAGGGAGTGCCAGCTGCTCTGGGACCTACGTAGCCTGGCTGGGTGGGTGAGAATGCAGGGCGGGAAAGTGCACCAACGTCCTTTCGAGGCTGAGGGAGGCTGTTCCTCAGAGCAGGTAACTGACCTCTGTAATAGGCCTTTGGCTTCTGCTGAGACCCTCAGGCCCTGCAGAGCCAAGGAGTCTCTTGAAGCTGTTTAGCACAGTTTTCAGTCTGCTGCCAGGGCCCTGGGGTGCCCGCTGCTTTATTAGGAGCCCTTCCTCACCTTTTTTTTTTTTTGTCTCTTTGAGACAGAGTCTCGCTATGCAGTTCAGGCTGGCCTTGAGCTCACTTTGGTAGCCCAGGCTGGTCCCGAACTCGCAAGGATCCTCCTGCCTCAGCCTCCCAAGTGCTGGGATTACAGGCGTGCGCCACCACGCCCGGCCCTTACCATCAGCCTTAACCAGTCCCTTGATGGACTCCATCTGTTCTTTCCTGCACTGGCTATCTCCACTAGCCAGTCTTTTAACCCTCTGCCCAGTCTCCTGTGATTTCAATGAGCACCCCATGGTAAAAGGGACAGAGGATGATGTCTGGAGAGAGGAACCAAGAAGGGGACACACTTGGTATCCTCAACTGTTAGGTCCATACTGCATGCAGAGTTCTGAAGGGTCCCCTCAAAGCCATAACTGTCTCTGCAGCTACAGGGAACTCCATGATCACCTGCTTGCACTTAGCTGGACTGGCACTCCTTGCAGCCCCACCCACATCCCATCTCATAGAAGTCTCCTGGCATTTGCTTAAGTATCTGCCTGCTCTATGAGGCTGTTTCCTGGGGATGTGACTCCATCTTCGTACCGTTCAACCAATAAAATTTCTCAAATGAGTTGTGACTGATCAGGTCGAGTATCTGTGTCTTTTTTTTTTTTGTACTGGAAATCGAATTTGGGACCTTGCATTTACCAGGCAGGCACTTGTGCTGCTGAGCTATATCCCCAGCCCAAGCATCTGTGTCTTTAGCAGGCAAATATGCAAAACTTCTTCCTTTTACCCCAGGCAGAGCTTGGTTATTCCAAGGGTTATTCCAAGAGAATCGAGGCAAAAAAGTCTCAGGGTTGGGGGCACTGGAGAGCCTATCTAATAGGGGCAGTGTGCCTTCTGGGCCTAAAGGGACTGATCTTTTGGGCATGGTGGTGTATGCTTACAATCCCACTCTGGGAGGCTGAGGTAGGAGACCCAGAAGTTCAAATCCAGCCTGGACAACTTTGTGAGGCCATCTCAAAATTAAAAAAAATAAATAAAAATTTAAAAATGGCCGGGGATACAGTTCAGTTCAAAGGTCCTAGGTCCTAAAAAAAAAAAGCCAGGTGTGGTGGTGTACCCCTGTAATCTCAGCACTCAGGAGGCTGATGCAGGAAGATGATCGTGAGTTCAAAAAAGTCCTGGATTCAATTCCTAGTAGTAAAGGGGCAGGGGATAAGTTATGTAGTAAGTTAACAGTTTGAACATCTGCTGCCTGCAAGGCTCAGGGGACATCTGGGGACATATCACTGGCCTTTATCTGAAGAACTTGTATCAAGACCTAGGCCTAGACAGATGAGCAGGAGTTCTCTAAAGTGCCCATGGCCCCAGGGAGGAGCAGATAAATCAGACTTGGGAAAACTTGGATGATGCTGAGAACCCTGACCAAGGGACAGTAGGGCCTGAGAACTCCAGAAAACAGGGTGGTCATCCCGAGAAGGGGAAGGACCTTGACAGAGTCCCACCTGTACTCCTGGCTGGCTCTCTTAGTGACTGGGCTGCACAGACACCCTGCACACCTGTGTGTGGGTGCTGACAGGTGGCCTGGCTCTGCCAGTCTGCCAGTACCTGGCCAGGCAGCACACATACTCACTGAACTCAATGAGCAGCTTGCCATAGCCCCGGCGCTGGTAGGGAGGCAGCGTCAGGATGCAGGCCACGTTGTAGTCTTCCGTGGACTCCTTTTCCTGGAAGAGAGGCAGCTGAGTGTGAGGGGAGCCTGGCTCAGGGCGGGCAGAAGCACAGCTGGGTGAGCACTGACCTTGGAGAAGTAGCCCACAATGTGGAAGCCCTTGCAGTCATACTCTGTCATGACGTAGAAGAGGAAGGGGTCTGTGTCGTAGTACAAGGTCTTGTGGTCGAGGAAACACTTGGCCAGAAGACACAGATTCTGGGAGTAACTCTGCAAAGGAAAAGGCTGTTACTATTCTGGGGAGCTTTGTGTCCCAGGCAGGTAGGTAATGAGCACTGCTCCCTGGGGTCAGTGTTTTGGCTCTGGACAGCTTTCCTACTTGCTAAGAGCCACCCTCGGGCTCTATCACCCTCTGTTCAAATTTAAAACAGTCAACAATAATGTCCTCAGGAAGTGAGACTCCAGCAAGGCCTCAGAAGCTCTGCCTACGTGGCAGTCTTGGGAGTCTGGCTGTGAAACCCCAACAATACTAGTCTGAAGTCACTCCTTTTAGGGACTGAGGTGCTATATACTATGGTGGAGGTAAGGAATTATGAAATTTAAAATAACAACCTTAGCCCCCACCCCCAGCAAAATTCTGAATTTTGCTACTTCACCTGCATACAGTTTCCACAGGAATTTCAGACACAGTTCTTAAGCACATGCTGGGCACAACCACTTGGATACCCAGTCCCACACTTCCAACAGAACAGCGTCCTCCTCTCAAGCTCCCTAGGCCCAGGCTGGAGCATCCTGCCAGGCAAGAGGCTGGCTTCTCCCTCGCTGCCCCCGAGGCCCCAGACGGGGAAGCCTCACTTTCAGCAGTCTCTAGGTTTCTCCTTCCTCCTTACTGGCACCAACCCAAACTTGTATGTCCCCCCTCACTGACCTCATTCTTGTCACCTGAATTGTGTTCCCTGTAACAACACTGCCTTACTCTCTCTGCTTGGCCTTTTGACTAGTGACCTTTACCTTTTACACTAACTCTGTAGGTCTCTCAAGGCTCAAAGGTCACCTCTGTGGAGACTTGATGACCACTTCGTTGGGACACTGCTAACCCACCCTTGTTTCACGACACTTATCACACCGGGATCTGAGTGGCTGCTGGCATTGTCTCCCTGCCACAGAGCACGAGCTCTTGGAGCAGATCCTAATTCCTGGTCCCATATATAGCCTCCAGCAACTGCCCTGCGGCAGGAATTCAATAAAAACAGGCTACACACGTGCTTTCCAGACTGGTCAGTTTTCCAGAGCAGGAAGAAGCTGCTCATCTGACTTACCCCAGGCCCCACTGCCCCTCAGCCACTGACCTTGTTCTTCCGCCCGTCGATCTCAAAGAATGAGATGGTGCCCTTGCGGTAAATCTCATTGCCCGGTGGGTGCCGCAGGTCACACTTGGTCTGAGGAAGAGAGAGGGATCAGAGGTGAGGGTGGGGCTTGGGATGCTGGGAGGGCAGCCTCCCAGGACCACTCATACCAAGTGACGCTGCAGACACTTGAGGCTACGGCCGTACTTGAGGCAGAACTCGCACAGGTAGAGGACGGGCAACGTGGTGAGCTCCTGTGGGTACGGGGAGAAGTACCACGGCTTGAGGCGGTGCCTGCCCAGCTCGATGCACTCAATGTTCTTCATCCGGGTAACAATGTCGTCGTGACTCCTGTCAGACACCAAGCTGCCAGTCATGCGAGGCGCTGAAGGTATTCCATCTGAGCTGTCCTGGGAATCCTGCTCAGGACCAGTGGAAGATACCAGGTTACAGGGGGACAGCTCCACAGGACACTGCAGCTCACAGCCCTGCCAGTGGTTTCCTCTTTCAAGCATAATGGCAACTCTGTGGGGAAAGTACCATAATCCCCACTTTCCAAGACAAAGAAACCAAAACTCCGGAGAAACTGGCAACTTGGGAGAGATCATCCAGCGACTAATCTGAACCATGCTGCACCTGGCTCCTCTCCCCAACCCCACCACTCCCTGTTTACTCTTGAACTAGGTGCTCCCTGACCCCTCCACCCCGCCTCCTTCCCCTCCTTTCCCCGGCTCCGTCTTCCACAGCTGTGTACACCCACCTCATCCGTGCCCAGGCAATTTGATTTTCGCTTCCGTCCTGGCTGAGCTGCCACAGCCCTACGGGCTGATCCATTCTGTAGACGAGATGGTAGGAACAGAACAAGTGGCTATGAGATGAGCCTAAAGGAGGCAGCCAGAGAACGGAAGAAAGGAAGAAGAAACTGGGGGACTCACCTGGGGGAAAACGGAAGCTGGGGCTGTCTCACTGGGCACTGGAGTTGCTGGTGAAACCACCTCCACCTTCCGTTTCTGTAGAGAGAAACCAAGAAAGGTGGGTCAGAAGGTAGAGAAGGTGGGACCTGAGAAGAAAGCAAGGTCCCTGGAATTGCTGAGGGTACCGTTGAGCGGTGGTTGGGTTGCAGGCAGGAGCTGGAGGAGAGCGGCTGGTCGGGCTCGCCACCGGGAATGGCCTCCCGCTCCTTGGGCAGGTTGAAGCGGAGTGTGATCTGGACCGGGATTGGCAAGGTCTTCCCGCTGGCCTGGGCGGAGGCCGGCTGTAGAGATAGGTCCAGGGTCTTCCTCTGGGGTGGGTATGGTGGTGGGACGGCAAACAGGAGGGGCCCCCTCAGCTCAGACTGATCAAACCCCACCCTCTGCCTTCTCAGGATTTAGAAATGGCCACTGGACTCGAAGTTACAGCTATAATTTGGCCCCATTCTTTGCAAGCTGAGCCAGGCTGGAAGAGTGCTGCCTCCTGCCAATCCAAGGAGCCCCTAAGGCCAAGAGGTGAGAGGAGGAGGAGGCAGGAGAGAAGAGGTGAAGCAGGGGGACCTACTCACCACCTCTCTCTCTGGAGAGCCAGGCCGGGAACCAGGAAGTCCGTTCTTGGTGGGGGTCTTGGCCTCTTTCTTGGGGAACTGGATCTTCTTTAGGTCCAGCCGCTCATGGGTCACCCACTCATCCAGACGTTTATTGACTGCAGCAATAGAAAGAGCTCAGGAAGGAATGCCAGAGGCTTCCCTGCAACACTACTCTATAACCCCACTTCACCCCAGCTGGGAACTCACAGTCAATGTAATGGACGTAGAAAAGCTTCCGGCCACTGATGTCCTTCACACTTAGGATCTCGGCCAGGGCTATGGGAACAACACAGGCGTGGGTCTGAGGGGGGCAGGCCTTGCTCCGACCCGAACCCCACGCCCTCACCGAAGCCCTGTGCCCCAAGCACTTGGAGGTTCTCGCCCAAGCCCTCTTCAGTCATTAAGAGCCACCCTTCTCCAAACCCCGCCCTGTCTATCTCCGTACGGCGGGAAGCCACGCCCCTCGGGAGTAGCTACGCCCCGCCCGCCCAGGATTCCTGAGGCCCCGCCCCCTGTGGGGGGTTCGGTTGACTCCCTCCCGCCCCTCGCCCACAGGTTCTGAGACCCCGCCCCCCGACGTCACTCACGCCACTCATCTTCGTTGTCCTGGTTCCGCCGCAGTACGGGTAGGCGGCAGCCCTCGATTATCTCCCCCTGGGGAGACAGCGCGGCGCCAGGGTCGGCTACTGGGGGGCCTCGGGCTCTACCCACCTCCCCTGGCTCCCTCCGCCCCGCCCCGGGCACCGGACTCACCACCTCCGCCATCTTCCCTCCCTCCACTGCCACTTCCGGCCCCTCTGGCAGATGTCACTTCCGGGACTGAGAGCGCTGCAGGCCTAGGCCTCCCGAAGTCACCTTAAAGAGGACCCTTGAGAGATACCGCCACCGAACTGGAGTAGGAGAGGCGGCCTGTTTGGGTGACCGAAAAATAGGCTGTTCGAAGCCTCAGGCCAGGTTCTGGATGGAATGCCCCCCAACGTGCACAGCCATTGGAGGAAAACTGAACCTGTCACGTGACGCCCACCGGGTGCGACGTGGGTCACGTGGATCTAGTGTTTGGGCTTTGACAGGCGGCAGCATTCGGGCAGTGAGAGGCGAGGCCGGGAGTGAGCTGCGTGAGCTCAGCTGGGGATGGGCCTGGAAAGCCGGAAGTACCTGGTTTGGAAGCTGGGAAAGTGGGTGGGGCTAAAGGGACCGGAATGCCCCGCCCCTTTGCAAACGTCAGTTCAAGGTTTCTAAATTTGTTACTTTGACTATTTGGTTTCCGATTTTAAAAATGTTATTTATGTTGTTCATTCATATATTCAGAAAATATTTTCTGAGCTGATACCGTATGCCAGGCAATATTCTACGATCCTGCAATTCATTAGTTAAAGGTTTAAAAACCTCTGTCCTCAGGGAGCTTTTTATTAGGGACCTCGGGCGAAAAGAAACAGACATAGCTAATATATATTAAAAGGCAAATTATTCATTAGAGATTTATATACTGGGTGTGGTGGCACATACCTGTAATCTTAGTTACTTGAGAGACTGAAGCAAGAATGATCTAAAGTTAAGAGGCCAGCCTGGACAACTGGGGTAGACTGTCATAAAAACAAAAAAGGCCTTGGGATGTAGATTGGTAGTAGAGGGCATATTAGTATGTAGCAAGGTCCTGGGTTCAATCCCCAGTACCACCACCACCCCCCCAAAAAAAAGGAGTTAAGAGAAACCAAAAATTGAACAAAGAAAAGGAGATGGGCAACTGCAAATTAAAACGATGTTCACCCAGGTGTGGTGGCTTAGGGCGGTAACCCCAGCACTATGGAGGCTCAAGCAGGAGGATCGATGCAAGTGCAAGTCCAGTCTAGGCTACATAATGAGCTCAAGGCCAGCCAGGACTGCATAGTGAGACTCTGTCTCCTAAAACAACAACAAAAAAGTGCTCAAAGGCCTGAATAAAGGTGTATTATTGAGTAAAGGTTTATTAAACAAGCAGAGGGATGAACCAAACCTAGAGGAAAATGTTACAGAAAATGAGGAAATAAGGGGAAGCCAGGTGTGGTGACACATGCCTGTAATCCCCGTACTCAGGGAGGCTGAAGCAGGAGAATCCCAAATTCAAGCCCAGTACGGACAGTTTAATGACTTAGGGAGACTCTGTCTCAAATAAATAAAAGGGCTGGGGATTCAGCTCAGTGTAAAGACCCTGGGTTTAATCCTGAGTAGTGAAAGGTAAATGAGGGAGAGAGGAGCAAACAACTCCACAGCATTGTGGAGAAATGTCAGAAATATGCACAGTGAACATTTGACTGAATGTTGAACCAGGCAAACAATGGCCAAAGCAAACTCCCTATTTTCTCACACTCAATAGACCAAGAATGGCTTTTACATTTTTTTATTAGTACATCTTTATAATACATGGTGCTGGGAGTTGTGTGGAGTTGGTACCTGTACATAACACATCTTAATTCCTTTTTTTTGTCTCTTTTCTCTCCCTTAACTCTGCCTTCCATCCATCTTTTAATCTCCTTCGCATTTAAGAAAGATTTTTCTCCTACTTCTATTTTCTGTCTCTTATTTTGCTCTTTCTTTATTATTTAGGTTTCATATATAAGAGAAGCCATGCAATATTTAAGCTTGTGTGTCTAGCAGGACATGGTGTCACACACCTGTGATCCCAGCACTCAGGAGGCTGAGGCAGGATTGCCATAAGTTCAAGGCCAGCTTGCAGTACATAGGGCGACTCTATCTCAAAGCACCAACAAACAAACAAACCCAGAAAAATTGGTAAATTGGTTCTTAGTATACTTACTGTTCAGCTTGTTTGCTTAGCGGTATAATTTGAACACTTACCACAAAATATTCAGTAACACCATTTTAGTGGTTACATAATGTTTTGTTGCATAAATGCATGTACCCATTTTCCTGATAATTTCTAATACCTGCCTATTAAAGGCAGTACCACAAAGACCATTTTTATATGTACAACTTTCCACATAATCTTCCAGGCATGATTAGAATTGAAGGTGTAAGTGAGCCGGCTAGATCTGCACCTTAGAAAGATCACCCTGGTGAACTGAATGTTCTTTCTTGGATTGGAGGAGGTGACCAGTTGGAAGAAGTTGAGAATAGCCATTCGCTGACAAGAGTGAATACGTGTTTAGCCGGCTGTGGTGGTGCACACGTGTAATCCCAGCACTTGGGAGGCTGAGGCAGGAGGATCGTTGTGAGTTCAAGGCCAGCCTGGGCTACAAAGTAAGCTCAAGTCCAGCCTGAACTGCATAGCGAGACCCTGTCTCAAAAAGACCAAAAAAAAAAGAAAAGAGTGAATACGTGTTTATCCAGGGCCTGCTACATATTGCAGAAAGCAGTTTCATTCACCCTCCCTTGTCAAAGACACCATTGGGCACCCCTCCCTGATGGCTAGCTCAGTGGCCACTTCCAGATCCTCAGGGGCACTGGCATAGTTGTCCACACCTTCTCCCTGGAAATACTCTTCTCTGCTTCCTGGACGTCCGGCCCTCCCTTTTGGTTTCCTTCCCTTTTCTTCCCTGGTTGCTCTTTAGGGCCTTTACTGGTCCTCTTCTTGCCCCGATCACTAAATGTGCACAGGCCCAGGGATCAGACCTGGGCTTCATCTCTGCTCATGCTCATCCCCTTCGTGATCCACTCGAGGCTCATGGTTTTAAATGTCATTCAGGTTGGGAGGCTCTCAGGTCCCCTCTTCATCCCAGTCTTGCCCTGGACCTGCATTCTCAGTGCCCATTCAGCATCTGCACTTGGATCTGGTGAACCCAAGCTCCTGTCCACCTGCCCAACCTGCTTCTCTTACTGTCTTTTTTGTTTTGGAGGGGTTTGTTGTTGTTGTTGGAGACAGGGTCTTGCTAGGTAGCTTTGGCTGGCCTCGAGCTCATGGTGATCCTCCTGCCTCAGCCTCCTGAGTGCTGGGATTACAGGTAGGTGCGATCATACCTGGCAACCACTGTCTTCTTATCCCTGTCGATGGGGACTCCTCAGACTGGATATTTGCACTTTCTCAGACTGGACATTTTACCATCCCTGACTATTCTTCTCTTACCATCTGTCACCAAATGCTCTGGGCTTTGCCTTCACCATTGCCACTGTGATGCAAATACCGCCCTTTTATCCCATGCCACTCTGACGATCCATGCAAAACACATGATACATGAAGGATTTATGAACTGGGCTGACAGTGGCTGCCCGCACTGTCCAGAGTTGAAGGCCTGACTCTCACCACAGAGTCCAGTATGAGCCCATGGTCACCGGAAGCTGAAGGAACTGGGAACAAATATCCAGAGCTGACGGTGAAGACTGCAGCTTCTCTGAAGAAGCAAAGTGGCACAGTTCCTCCTTTTTTCTCTCTTCATTCCACCCAGGCTACAAGCCTGCTGGGGTTGCCACCCACACCCAGTGTGGGTCTGCCCTGCTCAGGGCACGGTTTACAAGCCGGTCATCCAGCCACCTGAAGAACTGTGTGCCACTAACCCAACAGGCATGTGTTAACCCACCAGACTGACCCCACGATTAACTACCATGGGAGCTGGGTTTGGTGGTGCATGCCTGCCATCCCAACACTCAGGAGGCTGAGGCAGAAGGATCACCATGAGTTTGAGGCCAGCCTGGGCTCTATATGAGTCCAAGGACAGCCTAGACTGCATAGCAAAACCCTGTCTCAACTCCCACAAGTGAGAAACTATACTGTGGGAGCTGGGGTGGGAGCTGGGGTTGTCCCTGGGAGAAAACGACTGAGAGGATAGGTCAGGTGGAGTTACCTCTTACCCGATGAGCAGGAGGACGGACTTCAACAGTAGAGGTATCTATTTTATACACTTGCAAAGTTTAGTATCATAGGGAGTGATGTTGCCTAGCGATGAACGACTGTAATTGTCCAGGCAGGATCCTTTTTCAATACTGAGGTAGCTTGACTGCTTGAGGCACTCTGGCTCTGTTCTGCCCTCAGACATATGACCAATTTCCAGCTCCAGCGGCTCCCAGCATATCTCCCTTTTCTGTTTAGTTGCAGAAGTGATGGGTGCTCAGTTAAAGCTGGAAAAGCTGCCAGGCGTGGTGGCGCACGCCTGTAATCCCAG